TTTGACTGCATCCATGGGCCCATCTTTACTAAACATAGGTCCGTGTGGTCCAAAATGATGAGGACCAGGACCAACGTTTCTATCATTTGGTCCGTCTTTGTTAAAAGGAGGTCTATTTGGTCCGAATACGCCTGGTGCAGAACCGAAGTTTCTTTCCATTGATTTGTCGTTGCCAAATGGTGGTTTGTTAGGCCCGAATGGTCCAGGACCATGATTTTTGACTGCATCCATGGGCCCATCTTTACTAAACATAGGTCCGTGTGGTCCAAAATGATGAGGACCAGGACCAACGTTTCTATCATTTGGTCCGTCTTTGTTAAAAGGAGGTCTATTTGGTCCGAATACGCCTGGTGCAGAACCGAAGTTTCTTTCCATTGATTTGTCGTTGCCAAATGGTGGTTTGTTAGGCCCGAATGGTCCAGGACCATGATTTTTGACTGCATCCATGGGCCCATCTTTACTAAACATAGGTCCGTGTGGTCCAAAATGATGAGGACCAGGACCAACGTTTCTATCATTTGGTCCGTCTTTGTTAAAAGGAGGTCTATTTGGTCCGAATACGCCTGGTGCAGAACCGAAGTTTCTTTCCATTGATTTGTCGTTGCCAAATGGTGGTTTGTTAGGCCCGAATGGTCCAGGACCATGATTTTTGACTGCATCCATGGGCCCATCTTTACTAAACATAGGTCCGTGTGGTCCAAAATGATGAGGACCAGGACCAACGTTTCTATCATTTGGTCCGTCTTTGTTAAAAGGAGGTCTATTTGGTCCGAATACGCCTGGTGCAGAACCGAAGTTTCTTTCCATTGATTTGTCGTTGCCAAATGGTGGTTTGTTAGGCCCGAATGGTCCAGGACCATGATTTTTGACTGCATCCATGGGCCCATCTTTACTAAACATAGGTCCGTGTGGTCCAAAATGATGAGGACCAGGACCAACGTTTCTATCATTTGGTCCGTCTTTGTTAAAAGGAGGTCTATTTGGTCCGAATACGCCTGGTGCAGAACCGAAGTTTCTTTCCATTGATTTGTCGTTGCCAAATGGTGGTTTGTTAGGCCCGAATGGTCCAGGACCATGATTTTTGACTGCATCCATGGGCCCATCTTTACTAAACATAGGTCCGTGTGGTCCAAAATGATGAGGACCAGGACCAACGTTTCTATCATTTGGTCCGTCTTTGTTAAAAGGAGGTCTATTTGGTCCGAATACGCCTGGTGCAGAACCGAAGTTTCTTTCCATTGATTTGTCGTTGCCAAATGGTGGTTTGTTAGGCCCGAATGGTCCAGGACCATGATTTTTGACTGCATCCATGGGCCCATCTTTACTAAACATAGGTCCGTGTGGTCCAAAATGATGAGGACCAGGACCAACGTTTCTATCATTTGGTCCGTCTTTGTTAAAAGGAGGTCTATTTGGTCCGAATACGCCTGGTGCAGAACCGAAGTTTCTTTCCATTGATTTGTCGTTGCCAAATGGTGGTTTGTTAGGCCCGAATGGTCCAGGACCATGATTTTTGACTGCATCCATGGGCCCATCTTTACTAAACATAGGTCCGTGTGGTCCAAAATGATGAGGACCAGGACCAACGTTTCTATCATTTGGTCCGTCTTTGTTAAAAGGAGGTCTATTTGGTCCGAATACCCCTGGTGCAGAACCGAAGTTTCTTTCCATTGATCTGTCGTTGCCAAATGGTGGTTTGTTAGGTCCGAATGGTCCAGGACCATGATTTTTGACTGCATCCATGGGCCCATCTTTACTAAACATAGGTCCGTGTGGTCCAAAATGATGAGGACCAGGACCAACGTTTCTATCATTTGGTCCGTCTTTGTTAAAAGGAGGTCTATTTGGTCCGAATACCCCTGGTGCAGAACCGAAGTTTCTTTCCATTGATCTGTCGTTGCCAAATGGTGGTTTGTTAGGTCCGAATGGTCCAGGACCATGATTTTTGACTGCATCCATGGGCCCATCTTTACTAAACATAGGTCCGTGTGGTCCAAAATGATTAGGACCAGGACCAACGTTTCTATCATTTGGTCCGTCTTTGTTAAAAGGAGGTCTATTTGGTCCGAATACGCCTGGTGCAGAACCGAAGTTTCTTTCCATTGATTTGTCGTTGCCAAATGGTGGTTTGTTAGGCCCGAATGGTCCAGGACCATGATTTTTATCTGTATCTATGGGTCCGTCTTTACCAAAAATGGGTCCCTGTGGTCCATGAGTAATAATACCAGAACCAGGACCGTAGTTTTTATCATTTGATCCGTCTTTGTCAGTAGAAGATCTGTTTGGTCCGAAGGATCCTGGTACTGTACTGAAGTTCTTGTCCATTGGTCTATCGTTACCAAATGATTGCTTGTTAGGTCCAAACCCAGGACCATGATTTTTATCTGCATCTATTGTAGATACATCTTTTTCACCGTTAGGTCCACAAGACCCAGGTTCAGAATCTTTTTCGTTATCTACAGAATCATCTTTATCAGGTGTATCGTTTGTAGGTACCTCTGCTGGAGGAGCAATTTTCATACTTAATAAAGATGGAATCTTTAAAGATCCTGCTGGAACTGGTGATTGATTGAATACATCATGCCCAAAATCTGGTGAATCAGATCTGAATGGTACTGATGGAGGTCGATTAAAAATAGGTTGATTTTTTGGGCCACTAAATGGTCCCTCGTGGAACGGACGGGTAAATGCTTCTCGATCAGGGTCATCCGGATTTTTACTATCAGCTTCTGACTCCTTATTAGCTACAGTAGGAGTAGCCGGTTTTTCTAAAGTTGTGGTTAGTGCTTCATCCTGTTGTTCTGTAGCCTCTGGAGATGGGTCCAAGTTTAAATCTTTCGCTTGAGAGTTTTCAACTCCTACAAACAGAAGCGAATCAGGATTTTTTTTAATTCTAGAATCCTCATCGTCTTCGTTCGTGTCATTCTTATTTTCATCAGCAGTTGTTACTTCACTCTCAGCTATCGGCTCTTCACATGGAATCCAGGCAGACTCATCTAGCATGGGATTAATAGGTTCAGGGGTTTTGACAATACTACTACACTCTTTTTCTGCTAAGGAAACATCACCCTTGGCTTGATCTTTACCACTTTCGTCAGATGGCCTTTCACTAAGTTGTTGAGTACTTTCTGCTTCAGCCTTAAGAGAGATAAAGTCAGATTTAATTGTCTCTGGCGTGCCTTGTTTTCCAGAATCTGTATTTTCTTTAACAGATTCAGATGATAGAGCAAAGCTATCTTTATCTGTTTTATTTTCTGGGGGATCCTGATTGGAAAATTGTGTTGGATCCCTACCTCTAAAGTCATCAAAGCTGTCATAATTAAAATCTTTGTTTTTATCAAGTCCTTCATCTTTAGTCTCAAAATTACCAGTACTTTGATCCCTGCTATCGTTAGGACCGTTAAATCCAAATTGGTTTGGACCGTTATTACCCGACTCGTCGGGTCCAGTATTTCCAAAATTGTTCGGGGCGTTGTTGCAAAAGTTGTTTGGACCGTTATTTCCAAAGGTGTTCGGACCTCTATTCTGATTATTTGGACCATTATTTCTGAAGTTGTTAGGACCAACATTTCCAAAATTTTTGGGACCAACGTTTCCAAAGTTGTTAGGGCCGTTGTTTCCGAAATTGTTGGGACCACCTTTATTGTTACCGAAGTTATTCGGGCCTCTGTTATTATTGTTATTCGGAACGTTATTTCCAAAGTTGTTGGGTCCGTTGTTTCCAAAGTTATTGGGAGGGTTATTGCCAAAGTTATTTGGACCGTTGTTTCCAAAGTTATTAGGTCCCATATTCCCAAAATTGTTAGGGCCCTCATTTCCAAAGCTATTAGGGCCGCCTTTGTTATTACCGAAGTTGTTTGGGCCTCTATTATTAAAGTTATTTGGACCATTATTTCCAAAGTTATTAGGACCATTATTACCAAAGTTATTGGGCCCGTTATTTCCGAAGTTGTTGGGTCCCATATTTCCAAAGTTGTTCGGGGCATTATTTCCAAAGTTATTGGGGCCACCTTTATTGTTACCGAAGTTGTTTGGCCCTCTATTGTTACAGTTGTTTGGACCGTTATTTCCAAGGTTATTAAAAATTGGAAATTGCTAAAATATAAAAAGTGAATCTCAATAAAAATCTTAAAATTGGGATTCTGATTTGTTTACAGGAAAAACCGAACAGTTATTACCATTGAATAAACAATAATTTTTTGTAAATCCAAAATTAGTCTGAACAACAGATGTGTGCCACTACTTACTTTAAAGTGCATCTACTGAAATTTAATAATATATTTTGACCTCCTTAAAAGTATTTTTGAAGTTGAATTGATTTATACGTTTTGGCACAAGAGTTTTATTCTTTAACAAATCTTCTGAGAAAATTTGAAAAGTTACTTATATTTAGTTAATGAGCTTTATTTAAGTTCATTTAAGTAGTCTTTTTACCACGCATTTTTACCCTTAAAAATCTTTTTTTTCTAAAACGGTAAAAACGGTTTGATGGTTTTACAAACTTTTAGGAATTACTGAACCCATAGAAATTTAATTGAGTTCATTTAAGTTGTCTTTTCACCACGCATTTTTACCGTTAAAGTTATTTTTTTTCTAAAATCGTAAAAACGGTTTGGTAGTTTAAAAAAAAACTTTTTTTTATATGCTAGACAACATCCGCGTCGAAACTTCAAATTTTGAGGGTTTGGTGTTTTCATTTGTGACGTTATAATCAAACAAAAGAANCTGCACTTTTTTTTTTTTTTTTCAATTAATAATTCAAAAAGTTATATCATTGCATTCATGACATTTCGGGCGTTAGTACAACGTAAAAAGTAGTTAAAATAAGTTGTGATCTGTAAGTTTTAAATATGTGACTATTTAATTCACCATAATGACAGCATAAACGTAGAAAAACATGCTGTATCAGATTGATATTGAACTGCGATTAGTGATTTCTTACTAAACAAGGACACTGAACAGACTAAAAAGTTTGGGCCATAGAAAGGACAACTGCATACCTGGGATCTTGTGGGGTAGCAGTGTCAGTTGAGACAGTAGAGGTAGTTTCCTGCTGGCTGATATCTTCTTTAGATCTACCAAAATTTATAAAATCATCAAAATACTTTGAGTAAGAAAACTTAACTATTTGATTAAAAAGGAAGTAATGTGTATGAAGGACCAAATTGTGTAACTTTATGGACTGTGTTGCTAGTATGTTTCATGGTAAAGGGGCAAAGTTTAAACAATGTGATCACAAATTATATTGGTGATAATATTTTCAACATTGACATTTGAAACAGTTTAGCGTGTCTCGTATCATGTAAATATACATACACATGTGTATTTTATAATTTTATAAATAACAATACTTATACATATATAATTAATAGTTTTTCTAAGGATATAAAGTATTGGTTCAGAGATTTGTTATATTGAGTTATTATGTAACATGCCCTAGCGTTTTTGGAAGCTTCAAGAATTGTAATATAAAATTAAAAAATTAAACTTAATTTACAAATCAACCTGATCGTGTTAACAGCTAAATATTTTACCTGTCGTCACTTTTTTCGGGATCACTAGGCTTATTTCCTTTGTCGTGTTGTTCTGTTGAATAATCAAAATAAATTATATTTTAACGTTAATAACAAACATGGCTTTAACCAAAAATATTTCAATACAGCTATATTCACAAGATTTGGAAATTTTTAATAATGAATAATGATCTAATTATTTATCCTAGTGTTTCATTGATGAAGAAATGCCTTAGAAAATAGAATCTTGCTGAACTACTTGTGCAAAAATATTCTGTGAAAGGAAAACTACAATGTACCTGGACAAGAAGATTTATCATCCGTAGAAGCTTCGCTTTCTAGATGATCCATGGGCTCATCATCCTTTTTATTTTCATCAACTACATTTGCATCTTTATCTTTAATTTCACTCTTATCTTCATTATCCACTTTATCTTTATCTACAATATTTTCATCGCGATCCTTATCAGAATTTTTAATTTTCAAATCTTTGTCCACCTTATCTTTGTTGTCTTTGGGCCTGTCATCGCGATCCTTTTCATGACTTTTGTCCTTGTACCGGTCGTCTCTTTCCTTGTGACGATCTTTGTCATACCTATCTTTGTACCTATCATCTCTATCTTTATCACGCCGATCATCGCGATCTTTGTACCTGTCATCTCGATCCTTGTATCGTTCATCCCTGTCACGGTTTTTGTCACGATCACGCTCGGAACTACGGTAACGGTCGTCTCTGTCTTTATCACGACTCTTTTCTCGTAACGATCGTTCATCTCGATCACGATCGCTTCTGCTACGATCGTTACGATCTCGATCACGACTTCGCTCTCTCTCGCGTTCTTTGTCGCGCGGCCTTTCGCTCACACGTTCGTCCCTGTCACGGCGCTCGTCGCGATCTTTACGACGATCGTCCTGATCCTTTTCACTCTCTCGGTCTTTCTTCTCTTTGGGCTTCAAGTCCTCTTTCGATTTATCTAGCTGTCGCGTTGGACTCACCGTCCACACTTGGCCAATCCTTTCACACCGCTTTATCATCTCATCGTTGTACTCTTTTCTAGTTTGTTCATTGTCTTCCCAGTTCTTAAAGTCCTTGTAAAAGTCCGGTACGTTCGGCTTCAGACTCCCGTGTTGGTATTCGTACACACACAGAGGTTTGACAAATTCGGACACAGCATTTATTGATTCGTGTGAATAATCAATCACCTTGACCGGCGCTTTGTGATTGTAATTGAATTGCTTGCCTACGTGGAATTCTGGGTCTGCGTTTGTGATTTCTTCACCGCGTCTTGGAAATCTACCGGACCTATCAAAACGACTACCAGATCTGTCTAGTGGAGCTCCCGGTGGCTTGTCCATGGACTCCTTTGATAATGGTCTATCTAACGGACCTACTGGTCGGTCTAAAAGACCGACAGGCCTGTCTAGGAGACCTGGCTTGCCCAAAATACTACCAGATTTTTCTGATAACATTCCTGGTCTATCTAAAAAGCCACTAGGTCTGTCTAATGGACCTCCTGGTCTATTGCATGGACTTGCTCTATCCATAGGACAACTAAGTCTATCTGTTTTATCTCCTGGTTTACCTAGAAGACTAATTGGTTTGTCAAGTAATCCACTGTGTCCATCGAAAGGTCTTGATTGAGGGCCTCTAGGTCCAAAATCAGTGATAGGACCACCAGATAGATTAAGAAAACTCTCTTTTTTATCACCCATATCTACTGTTGTTGAGACTTTTTCATCTACATCCATTTTATTTGCAACCTTTGGATCAAGTGAAAAATTATCACCTTCAATACTCTTTAATTTATCACTTTTTGGATCCAAAGGATGGAAAATGTCGTCTATGAAGTCTCCAATGGGTGAAGGTTTGATGTCTACTTGTGTTTTATTTTGCAGAGAAGAAGACTCTGCATCCATCGGTAGAAGAGATTCACATTTTTCAGTAGAGAGCCGATTTCCTTCCAGCATCTCTGATGGTTTATTTTTATCCATAGGTTTGCTTGGCCCAGGTACTGCATCTTTTAAGAAAGGACCTGTCCCAAGTAGTCCTTCTTGCTTTCTGCATGAATCAGCAAAGGTACCCAACTTGTTAACTGTTAAGTAAAAAATTGCTTGTCAGTAAAATTACTACGTAGTACAAAGTTATTTCAAACGATTTTTAGTTACAATTAATCTTCACACGTGAGCTGTTAATCGCATAACCGGGGGGACAGTTTAAAATTATTTTCATTTATTTACGTAAATTTTTAATCCTTGCAAATATTGTTTTACCATGGACACAAAGTACAACTGCTGCTTTGTGCCCTCAAGCTACACTTTGATCCTTTGAAATAATTTTGCTCCCTAAAGTATAAAGTTATGTACTGGGCGCAAAGTGTGCTTAAGAGCGTAAAACTGCAGTTTGTGATTGAAAATAATTTTTAATGAAACTGGAGTTATTGGGTAATGGGTTAATGAGCTTACAGCATTCAAAATATGTAGTTGAGTTGACGCATAATTCAAATCTCAAGCTATTAATGCGCAATGAAGTGATTGGGAGCTTGAGATTTGAATTATGCGCTAACTGGAATGCCCCTTTTGAAAGTATTGGGTGTCAAAATGAATACACCTTATGACTATGTGGAGTGTTTTACAAATACTACAATTTTTTTAGTGCTCTTATCCTTCAGATAGGTTAGATTATTTTTATTTTTTATGCATACAACTATCATTATTGAATAAAAAGTATATAAATTGACACTTTTTGGTCATATGCACTTAGAAACAAAAAAAATACTAGATGTGTGAAAGTGGGCCGCAAGTTAAAATCTTTGCAGTTAAGGTTTAAGCACTCATAGCTACTAAGAAAAGTATTGAAAAATATTAAGAAAAATTAAGTACTCACTATTTTGAAATGGTCTGTTTTGTCTCTCATTTTCAAAAGGCCTTGGCCCAAAAAATCCATTGCTTTCATAAGGACTTGCCCCAAGAAGTCCATCATTTTCAAAAGGCTTAGTTTCTGCTTTTTCAAACAGCCTGTTTGGCCCAAATGGTCCATCGAAAGGTCGTGGTCCCAGAAGTCCATCTTTACAAAAACCATAAGATTTTGGAGTTATTAATTTAAGATGTAAGATTGACTTGAATAAGACATTCAATTGGAAATTTCTAATGGTTTGATTTAACTTTTCTTAAGAAATGAAACAAATTTTTGATATTTGGCAAAGACTGTAAGTAATTTAGTGTAATACAGATACATTATTAATTTACTTTTCATGACTTTTCGTTTTAAGCTACTTAATTTATACTGTTAGTGCTAATAAATACTCAATTTTCAATTTTGTTAATTTCCCTTTCCCTTACTCAAATAAATAAATATGATAGTTGTTACTGTATGTGAAATCTACACATTATTTATTTTTATATTTCCATTATTTATTTGTTCTATTTATGCATCTAATTATTATGATTTATTTTTTGAAAGTAACGAATAATAACATTACTACTTATTAGTAATCTGAGAATTCTTATTATTTGTGGGATACTATTGCATTTCAAACTACTATGGTTTTAGTTGAATTAGTGAAGATTCATTCACTAATAATTATAATAAAAAGTTTGTTTAATTTACCTGAGGGTCCATCGGGACCGAACGGAGGTCTGTTAGGTCCAAATGCAGCAGGCCCAGGGCGATGATTAAAGTTCCTATCCATTGGTCCATCTTTGCTAAAGGGAGGTCTGTTTGGTCCGAAAGGTCCTGGTCCAGAGCCAGGAATAAAGTGTCGGTCCATTGATCTATCGTTGCCAAATGGTGGTTTGTTAGGCCCGAATGGTCCAGGACCATGATTTTTGACTGCATCCATGGGCCCATCTTTACTAAACATAGGTCCGTGTGGTCCAAAATGATGAGGACCAGGACCAACGTTTCTATCATTTGGTCCGTCTTTGTTAAAAGGAGGTCTATTTGGTCCGAATACCCCTGGTGCAGAACCGAAGTTTCTTTCCATTGATTTGTCGTTGCCAAATGGTGGTTTGTTAGGCCCGAATGGTCCAGGACCATGATTTTTATCTGTATCTATGGGTCCGTCTTTACCAAAAATGGGTCCCTGTGGTCCATGAGTAATAATACCAGAACCAGGACCGTAGTTTTTATCATTTGATCCGTCTTTGTCAGTAGAAGATCTGTTTGGTCCGAAGGATCCTGGTACTGTACTGAAGTTCTTGTCCATTGGTCTATCGTTACCAAATGATTGCTTGTTAGGTCCAAACCCAGGACCATGATTTTTATCTGCATCTATTGTAGATACATCTTTTTCACCGTTAGGTCCACAAGACCCAGGTTCAGAATCTTTTTCGTTATCTACAGAATCATCTTTATCAGGTGTATCGTTTGTAGGTACCTCTGCTGGAGGAGCAATTTTCATACTTAATAAAGATGGAATCTTTAAAGATCCTGCTGGAACTGGTGATTGATTGAATACATCATGCCCAAAATCTGGTGAATCAGATCTGAATGGTACTGATGGAGGTCGATTAAAAATAGGTTGATTTTTTGGGCCACTAAATGGTCCCTCGTGGAACGGACGGGTAAATGCTTCTCGATCAGGGTCATCCGGATTTTTACTATCAGCTTCTGACTCCTTATTAGCTACAGTAGGAGTAGCCGGTTTTTCTAAAGTTGTGGTTAGTGCTTCATCCTGTTGTTCTGTAGCCTCTGGAGATGGGTCCAAGTTTAAATCTTTCGCTTGAGAGTTTTCAACTCCTACAAACAGAAGCGAATCAGGATTTTTTTTAATTCTAGAATCCTCATCGTCTTCGTTCGTGTCATTCTTATTTTCATCAGCAGTTGTTACTTCACTCTCAGCTATCGGCTCTTCACATGGAATCCAGGCAGACTCATCTAGCATGGGATTAATAGGTTCAGGGGTTTTGACAATACTACTACACTCTTTTTCTGCTAAGGAAACATCACCCTTGGCTTGATCTTTACCACTTTCGTCAGATGGCCTTTCACTAAGTTGTTGAGTACTTTCTGCTTCAGCCTTAAGAGAGATAAAGTCAGATTTAATTGTCTCTGGCGTGCCTTGTTTTCCAGAATCTGTATTTTCTTTAACAGATTCAGATGATAGAGCAAAGCTATCTTTATCTGTTTTATTTTCTGGGGGATCCTGATTGGAAAATTGTGTTGGATCCCTACCTCTAAAGTCATCAAAGCTGTCATAATTAAAATCTTTGTTTTTATCAAGTCCTTCATCTTTAGTCTCAAAATTACCAGTACTTTGATCCCTGCTATCGTTAGGACCGTTAAATCCAAATTGGTTTGGACCGTTATTACCCGACTCGTCGGGTCCAGTATTTCCAAAATTGTTCGGGGCGTTGTTGCAAAAGTTGTTTGGACCGTTATTTCCAAAGGTGTTCGGACCTCTATTCTGATTATTTGGACCATTATTTCTGAAGTTGTTAGGACCAACATTTCCAAAATTTTTGGGACCAACGTTTCCAAAGTTGTTAGGGCCGTTGTTTCCGAAATTGTTGGGACCACCTTTATTGTTACCGAAGTTATTCGGGCCTCTGTTATTATTGTTATTCGGAACGTTATTTCCAAAGTTGTTGGGTCCGTTGTTTCCAAAGTTATTGGGAGGGTTATTGCCAAAGTTATTTGGACCGTTGTTTCCAAAGTTATTAGGTCCCATATTCCCAAAATTGTTAGGGCCCTCATTTCCAAAGCTATTAGGGCCGCCTTTGTTATTACCGAAGTTGTTTGGGCCTCTATTATTAAAGTTATTTGGACCATTATTTCCAAAGTTATTAGGACCATTATTACCAAAGTTATTGGGCCCGTTATTTCCGAAGTTGTTGGGTCCCATATTTCCAAAGTTGTTCGGGGCATTATTTCCAAAGTTATTGGGGCCACCTTTATTGTTACCGAAGTTGTTTGGCCCTCTATTGTTACAGTTGTTTGGACCGTTATTTCCAAGGTTATTTGGACCGTTGTTTCCAAAGTTGTTGGGTCCCATATTCCCGAAGTTGTTTGGACCATTATTTCCAAAGTTATTAGGACCACCTTTGTTGTTACCAAAGTTATTCGGCCCCCTATTATTGTTGTTTGGACCATTGTTACCGAAGTTGTTTGGACCATTGTTACCAAAGTTGTTTGGTCCATTATTTCCAAAGTTATTTGAGCCATTATTTCCGAAGTTGTTTGGACCGTTATTTCCACAGTTGTTTGGACCATTATTTCCAAATTTGTTTGGACCATTATTTCCAAAATTATTGGGACCGTTATTTCCAAAGTTGTTGGGTCCCATATTTCCAAAGTTGTTCGGGGCATTATTTCCAAAGTTATTGGGACCGTTATTTCCAAAGTTATTGGGACCGTTATTTCCAAAGTTGTTTGGGCCACCTTTATTGTTGTTACGGTTGTTATTCGGACAGTTATTTCCAAAGTTATTTGGACCATTATTTCCAAAGTTGTTGGGTCCCATATTTCCAAAGTTGTTAGGACCATTATTTCCAAAGTTGTTAGGACCATTATTTCCAAAATTATTCGGACCATTATTTCCAAAGTTATTTGGACCTCCTTTATTGTTATTACGGTTGGTATTTGGACAGTTGTTATTTCTGAAATTGTTGGGTCCATTATTTCCAAAGCTATTAGGGCCACTATTTCCAAAGTTGTTGGGGGCATTGTTTCCAAAATTATTGGGGCCATTATTTCCAAAATTGTTGGGGCCACTATTTCCGAAGTTGTTTGGGCCACTATTTCCAAAGTTATTTGGGCCATTATTTCCAAAATTGTTGGGGCCATTATTGCCAAAGTTATTAGGACCACCTTTATTATTATTACCAAAGTTATTTGGTCCATCATTGCCAAAACTGTTGGGACCAAATTTGTTTGGGCCGACATTTCCAAAGTTGGTTGGACCGTCATTGATCACGTTGTTGCTATCATCTTTATTGCCAAAATTATTCGGTCCACATTTATTATTACTGTTATCATTTGGAGCTCTTTCATCAAAGCTATTGGGATGGGAATTTCCAAACGTATTGGGACCATCTGGGTTGCTATTATAAAAGTTATTTGCACCTTTATTGTTACTGTTATTTGGACCAATATTTCTGAAATTGCTTGGACCAGCATTTTCAAAGTTGTTAGGACCAGTTTTGTTATTGTTACCAATAAACTTGTTTGGTCCTCTGTTCCCAAAGTTTTGTTCTGTAGTATCATTATTGATATTTTTAACATTGTTGTCAAATTCATTAGACCCATGGTTCCCAAAGTTGGAACCTTTGTTTGGAACACGATTTCCAAAGCTTGACGAATTATTACCAATATCACCTTGACTTTTATTTTGGAACGTATTTGAACCTTTGGTTTCAAAGCTTGGGCCTTCTTTTGGATCTTGACTTGATTGATCGAAGTTAGCACTTACATTATCTGAAGAGTTAAATCCACCGGGTCCTTGATTATTAGAGCTAAATTGAGTTTTTGTATCTTTGTCAGTCATTGCTTTTTTAAAACTCTCACTAAGTGAACCAACACTTGAAGAAAATGAGGTGCTTGGTTTAAAAACATCCATTGCAGCCTTACGTTTTTCAAAAACTTTAAGCAATTCAGGAGGTACATCTTCCTTATTTTTATTTTCAAACTGCTTTTCATTTCTATCTCCATGATTATCACTGTAGTTGACATTATTTTCACTGTAAATCTCGTTACTATTATCGTTAAAATTATCTCTGTCATTATTTTTGAAGTTCCCTCCTTTGTTCGGTCTGCTAAAGTTATTTTCATTTCTTTCATTAAAATTGTTGTCATTTTCATTGTAGTTATTTCCTTGGTTATTTTGTTTGTTATTTCCAGAGTCATTTCCTTTGTTAAAGTTTGGTGGTGGTTGATTGTAATGGCCACCCGCCATTGGTGGTGGTTTAATGAATTGATTCTTGTTTCTGTTATCATTGCCTAACGGCATCTGCTGATTAGGTGGTATGTTTTGATTGATATTTTGATTTAAATTAGGGCCCATATTTTGGCGTTGCATGTTTACAGAACTCATTTGCTGAGGAGGTGGAGCATTATTGTTACTGACAGCCATCGGTGGCTGAGAGAAACCAGGCGGTGGCTGCGAAAAGTTTTGTGGTGGGAAACCGGGAGGCGGCTGGGACAAATTCGGGACTATAGTCGTCTGCTGAGTTTGCACTGGAAGTGGTTGAGTCTGCATTGATGGATGCTGTTGCATTTGAGGTGGTCCCATCGCCATTGATGGTTGCATCGTATTGTAATGTGGTGGCATAGCCGAAACCATTGGCTGAGCCATGGGTGCGGTCATACCTGTGCTCATTGCTGGGTTGTACTGGTTCCACTGGTTCCATGCTTGGCTCATATCAGGCTGCATCACTGGTGGCATTGCTGCCATTTGCGGTGTCATCATTTGATGTGTTGGTCCTGGTTGGTGCATAGCCATTGTTGGACCAGCTGAGACAACAGCTGGAGTGGGATGGGGGTTAACCATTGTGGTCGGCGTAGCAGCCATCGTCGGTTGATCAGATTTGCTAGTCGTAAGACCTAAGGTTTTACCTATGCCTAGCAGATTATTTATCAATCCCTGATTTTCAGTACTAGAAAGAATGTTCATAATCTTATCTCCACCCGGAACACTCTTTTTATTCTCAGCTTCTTTAGCTGCCATTAGTTGTTCACGCTGACGTCGCATCTTTTCACGACGTTCTATTAATTTCTCTCGAATAGATGTCCATTTAGCTTCATACTGCTTGTACTGAGCCTAAATTAAATAAAGGATGAAAATAAAGCACGTTATAACTATATATTTTATTGATTATTTACTTTACTAGAATATAATAAGGACCATTGTTTCCGAAGTTGTTTGGGCCACTATTTCCAAAGTTATTTGGGCCATGTAGATCATAGGTATGAATTTTTTTTGGAAATTTCATGAAATAAAATCAATCTACTGTAAATTAAAAAAACAAATAGTTGAATTAGTGAAACAAACAAATAAATTTACTCAACTTATTTCCGACTTAAAAGAATCATTATAAAAAAAAAAAAAAAACCATTGATTAAAAAATTTTTTCAATTCATAAATAACAATACCTTGTCAGGGTGATTGGCATTTTGCTGTTTCCATTTATTAAACTGCTCTTCCCAGGTTCTAAATTGTTCGTCAAATTGTTTTTCAGATTTAAGAAGTTTCAATTCACTTTCATCTTTAGCTTTTTTTGCGCTCTCCGACTCAGGATCTGAAGTGGATGGTCGTTTTGTACCAGCTGTAGTAGCAGCAGGAGCAGGAGCAGGAGTGACGGTAGTTGGTGGAGGCTTAATAAAAATCCAAGTTAAGAGAAATAATACTTCACGAAGAGAAAAAATTAGTTATATTGACTTACAGGTGGCGCTGCTGTGGTATATCCGTATGTATTAACCGTGTTGGTAGGTGGTAATGGAGGTTTGTCATCTTTTGGTGGTGGAGGAGGCGGTTGCGTTGACATGGGCAACGGTGGAGCTTGACCGTATTGTTGCTGGTACTAAATTATATATTAACTAGATTAAAAACCGAACCGCATGAAAGAAAATTGTTAAATTTACAAAATCAATAAATAATTTTAACCGAATTGGAATTTCAACGATTTCTTTAGAATGATTAGTTCTAATGAAAAATTTTCTTAACAGATGATTAGTAGAGAAAATAAGACTAACACTTAGTACCTTTTCTCCATACTGAGCTTGCCATTGCTGATACTGTTGTTGCCACTGTTGCCACTGAGCCCAATTTTGTTGCTGAGCAGCAGCCCATTGCTCAGGTGTGTAACCATTTGGTGCCTACAATTAAAGAATGTTGCTTTTCTTTCTACAAAGGTTTTAAATTCAAAAATGCATTTAAATGGTAAATCATTACAACTAGTCCCTGAACTTGAAAGTTCCATCAACTTAGTTTATTTTTTTACATTTTTTTTACTATGATTATAACAAAACATTGTACATAAAAAAAAAGTTAGTAAAATAACTACCAGTACTTTGTAAATTTATTTTGTTAGTGAAATTATGAAGTGTTGTTACAAACATAATCGTTGATTTATTAATATTTTGCTTCGATGACAACACTTCATTTAACGTAAATATTTTTTTTTTTTGCGTTTTTTTGAATGAGTACTAGTTATTTATATATAGTATGCCGAACACTGTTTTTTCTACCGAAGGCATACCCGACCCTCAAAAACTCTCGAGGTACAAAAATTGCCTTCTTAAAGTTTGTGTTACAATTTGGCACCTATAATTAGTTTGGTTTTAAAAATACGTTAACTTCAATATAAATGTTTGGAATAATTCCATAACAGATAATAAATATTATTCTTGTATACATACCGGTTGGTTATAGTATTGCAAGTAAGCTTGCATTGCTGCCATGGGATCAGTACCAGGTGGTGGTGCTGAATACCCCGTTGGTGGTGGGGGCATTGGTGCAGTACCAGAGGGTACTTGCCATTGGTTCCAGTTTTGCATTTTTACTTTTATTTTTTAGCTTTATTTCATTAAGCTAATGCATGATTTGCCGATGGTTTTTTAAAAGCTGTCCTTTTGGCTAGAGGCTATTTAAATTTGAGGAGAAAACATGTTTGTTATAGTTATTTATATTAATTATTAAAGAGTAGATCTCAAGGTCTACTAAAATGATTAGATAAGGGACAAGAATCAATTTCAATTCGACAATGTCTTATGTAAAAACAAGAAACCGTTCTAGTAACTTAGTTACTTCAACTTAAAAAGTAGTCTGTAAAAAATTCGGCTAAGAATATTTAGAGTAAATTTGTCTGAAATGAATGAAGTAAAAATAGTTACAAAATTATATGTTCATAATATAGTGTACGTATAACAATAAAATATATTATCACTATTGCACATTAATGTAAAGCTATTTATCATGCAGTTTTTAATAGTGCATCAGAAAAATATAATACAATACATAACTACGATTTAAAATTTTCTCAATTTTGGAGGCTATCCACTATTATACTCGTTATTCTGTGGGTTAATATTTTTACTACTCTTAGAGTGAAACAAATAGATAAGCAAAATAATATGAAATTCTACTAGATTGTACATGAGAAATTAGATGTAAGATGAAGAGATTAATAGTAAATTTACATTATTAGAAATCGACTATAAATTTAAAAATTGCCGAAATTATTGATTTGGGATTTTTCTAACAAGGAATATACTTGTTAGACAAGTACTACAAGGTGTTGGGATTCCAATAAAACTGCGAAATTATTTTGACCAACGTTGATTTTTTGTATGCAGAAAATTAATCTCAAGTTATCCAAAAAGCTTTGAAAATTTTATGGGCTCCTAAATAACAGTAAATGTCTTAACAATAAAAATTAGTTTTAGATAACTACAAAGTGTTTTAATAAAATTGTTCGTTAAAAATACTTCAGCATTAATATAATACTCGGTTATTTATAGCAAATGATCATATATAATGTGTATGGTTGAATTCAAGGTGCTCCAAATAATTCAATTTCTGTATTAAAATGATTCATAAACGTAACATTACTATTTAGCAGCTGCAGTGCACATTATGTGCAATCCGAAACTAAAATTTGTATACAGGTACAGTGTCAGTACATCTGATCATATAAAACGAATTTCTTTGAACCATTATAGCCACAATAGATATATATGTAAGCAGATAATATAACGCCTATCCATAAGAAAATTTTTAAATAAAAGTAGCAGAATAAAACAATTTTTCTTACTATGGGTGAATGAACTGATTAATGGGCTTCAAGTAAGCGTAAAACAACACTTTGCACCCTCGGTAAAAAAATTTCTTGTGTTGGGAAGAAATAGACGCATATTTTTTACTTTTTGCCTATGGTACGAAACGTAAAATTGTTTTATACAAAAAAATTAATTGTTTCCAAGTTTTTTTATATAACTAACATGAAAAACATCATCTACTCTGAAGAATTCAAGCAAAGTTTTTTTTTACTGTTTTCGTAACTTTCATCATGGTCAATATCGATTTTTATTATGCTATCTAGATTGTGCATACCATGAGTAACTCAAATTGGCATTATTTTTACACACTCTCTCACTCTCTCATAAGGTATCCCTTTTAACATCTTCATGCACCTCACCAATTATCATTTTAAGCTTTGCGATATTATCAACTTTGTCATGCGTCATTGTTTAACCATAATAACTTGTTTATTTCTCTCACCTCATATTCGCCCTCTCTACATTCTACCTTGCATTCCACTCATCTACCTTACCAGCCTTCTCTAGCCATTATTATCATTTAGCCTTCTTTTCGTCCTCTAATTTATTAACTCAGCCCTTCCTTGGAATTTCACTAGTTTTCACGTATATCTTTATTTAAGTTTTCACGTATATCTTTATTTTTTTTTCTTCTTATGTTTCATTTTATTTTGGTTTTTATTTTTTGTATTGCTACGTACGATATGCTAAAAAATTTCTATTTTTTGTAAATGTTTCGCTGTTATTTTTTAGCTTCTGAGAATTAGTTGTAAGTTTGTTAATACCAATGTAATTTGAATCTGACCAGATGGGGATCTTTCCTAAGGTATAACAGATTCTACTCTCTCTCTCCGCGCGCGCACATGCACACACAAGCGCGCGCGCGAAAGATCCTGATGTTTAAATCTGCTACAAATCAGTATTTTTCAATTTTTTCTGGATAAACATTTTGATAGTCGGATCTCCATTAATTTGGTTTAGGCTTAGTACCCGTATTAGTCAAGCAATTGGGTCACAGTTTTTTAAAGTACAATAGTCAATTTGAATAAGAAATGTGGAATACTATGGCAATAAAAATATGGGGAGTAATACCCTCAAGTTTTTACACGGAACGAGGTACAATATTAAAAATAGGAACAACACTATGAAATGTATCTCAGTATACAAAAATATATAATATTCTTAACATAAGGGTTCCTTAAAGGCTTCGTAGCCTTAACCCAATAACCCTAGATCCTTTAATCTATTAATCCAGATTCTATAACGTTATGGACAGTCATATAGATGAGTTTTCCCTATGTTTTATAGACTTGGTAGTTACTAGGATACGGGGTTTAAGACTCTGGAAATACTGGATTTTTGGGTATGGGACTCTAGAAACACAGAGTCACGGGGTTTGGGGGTTGAGAATTATTGGGCTAAAGTACATTCTTGAATACCCCACAGATTGGATGCCACTTTTGGTATCCCACCGCTATACAACCCAGCGTAGCTACTCATCTTGTTTTTTTTCGTTCCTGAGCCACTGAGTACTACTGCTACATATGATAGGAAACTATGACGTAGCTGTAATGGGTCTTAACTAGACCTCTGTTACATCTAAGGAAATAATTTATACAGAGTGCTTACTATGTCGTTTTATCGCTTTCTCCTTCTTCCTTTATATTGAAAAATGGTATTACGACAGCATTGAAATTAAAAGCTTATACCTTCACCATAGGCCCTATATGAAGAAGTCACGTGACTATTTTGGATTTCAATAAAACCTGTGTGTAAAATTTTTAAAGAATCGAAATGAAAATACTTTCAAATATTTCAAGTTTGAAATATTACAATAAACGCTAATAAAATATTAAAAAATTTTAACAAAAGTTAAAGCATGGAATACCCCAAAAAACGTATTTCGAAGGAAAAGTAAAAATAGGTTAAAAATAACAATTTATATGGGTATTCTAAATGGAAACAAAATTATCGAAACAAATACAAAAGTGTTAAACACTATGGAAATATAACCTTAATTTTTTTTGTTTCAGCAGTACTCTTTTACAATTGAGAGAAAATTAAAAACAAATTTTAATATGAATACATAAGATGTTAAGAAAATTTGTGAAGACGTTCAAATTTCTTTGTTTTACTTAACCTTCAAAAAATATAAAACCAGAATTTCTTGACGGGAATGCTAAAAACGTATCAAGAAGTTTTTCGAATCGCTAAAAACGTATCAAGAAGTTTTTCGAGTTTTCAAAGGGCAACGAAAACATTAAGGTACATAAAGAGGAATTGGTAGATAGATATACATACATAACCTTAAAAATGTTTTCCCCAGTTATTTTATTGCGTTTAATTTTTTTCTTGAATTTAGGGAGGTAAATCTTCTCCCATGAAGAAGTAAAAGGGAGTACGGGTTCTCATAAGGCGCTGTGTTGGTCAGCGGAACTAATCTACCTAAAAATGTCTACCCTCTTGATTACAGAAAATTTATGAGTTTAACTCAACAGTACTTGACGAAATAATAAAAAATTACATAATATACCTTAGGGCATCTAGTTTTTTTTCATAGACAAAGCCAAATATATTATTTTTCCTGTACCAGATAAAAAATATCAAGTAAACAGCCTTGTTAACAGCATAACAAGTGTGACCTTTCGATACAAGTGTTTTCAAAAATGTTACTTATTAACATTTACTGTTAAATTTTTCGTCTCTTGTATAAGAGGCTTTGATTTTTTTCAAAAACTGAGTTGTGGATCGATTAAAAATTTCAACGCAATATTCGTAAATTAATACAATAGATTCCAATACTCTAGGTAAACCAATCTTTAGCTCATACTTTTATATAAATAAACGGAGACACTTGATAAGTTTTTACAAACTTCAACAGAAGCTTTAATACTTTTTAAAAAGGTCATGATTGTTTTGTAATCGATTAGAAATGCAATTTCAAGCTATTGAAACGCCTATTGGAAAATCAAGCATGCCTTTGCTTATAAACTACCATTATTTTGGCTAAAAATAAAATGAACTAGCATAAGTCGATCATACACGTTGAAAACACAACAGGCTAGCAATCGTTGTATACGCAGAGGCTTTTATAAGTTGAAGAAAGTTCAACAGTTTTTGTAAGATGCAGAGAAAAACAGTCGAGTAAAAAAGAATAATTGAGAGTGATAGGAAACTGATATTTTTTACTATTTCTTTCATATTCACAGAAAAATCAAGTTTTAATTTTCAACAGGCTACAGTAAAAGACAATAAATTTTGAGCTATTTTTTTTATAAAAAGTTTTGAAAAAAATTATCAGAGATTTTGAACGAGATTATCAAATTCTGAAGATATTGGCATCAAAAAAGTTGTAGTTTCTTACACATTTTTAAGAGATAGGCCATTACACAGATGTAAAAATGTTAAGACAGGTCATAACAGATCTAAAACTCTATAATACAAAATGCATAAAAAGTTCGATGTCGGCTGATAACATTTCACGAAGCACGACTTTTTTGCAAACTTACTTACAGAAGCCGTTTTACTAAAAATTATGATCTGAAAGTTATAATAGTTTTTTACGAGACCTAACGCTTTGGTTTATCACTCCAGATCATTATTGCGAATTAAATTTCTGAAATTTTAAATATTATTCTAATCTATTGCAATTGATTTCTGAAGGTCTTTAAGAAAAAATCACGTTATGGCGTATTTAATAACACAACAAATAAAAAGGTTACATGAAAATTTATCTTTTAAGATAGGAGTTCTTGTCCTACTTGTTTTTGTGAGTTGGATAATATCTGATGTGACACCTGCAATCTCTCAATTTCTATTACTGGTT